TGGGGTACTTGAAAACAAGATTATAATCTGATGAGGCTGTGTAAGGAAATTCTAAAAGCAATTTCTGTCCATTCATTAAATGATATACTCTTGGTGGGTTTGTTGCATTCATAACCATGCTCGCTGATAGGGGCATGTACTACTATGAGTATATGAGAAGCTACAACTCTAATAGCTAAAAGTCAGCCTGAAGTAAGAATATACGTTGAGCTTCATTTGATTATCCTGGTATACAAAACTAAAACAACTACAAGAAAACAAATTTTTTCTGGGTTCTCCAGTATTACTTAAGCGAAAACCTGACCTGCATATATTAATAGTGGCACTGAATGTACTTTAACCATATATTATAATGAGTATAATTACATATCTGTACACATAATAATATAGCCTAGATACTGCATCCATATTTTTCCTATCTTTAGTACATATGCCATCAACAGAAAGATTTAATCACTTGGTGAGTGCAAAATACTGTCTGGTGCTGTCACTTAATGGTTTAAACTATCTAATCCTGTAGCAAATCAGTTCTCATTGTTTACCTACCACGGCTTGGGTTAATGCCATCACCTCTAAGAATAGCTACCCTTGAAGTGTACTGAGTCATTTTAAAAGGCAGAATGCAACCATAGCAGAGCCATGTCTCATGAGCAAAAGACGTTGTGGAAACTGTAGTAAATGATAAGTCTCTTTCACCTCCTGTATTGCAGGAAATCTTAAACTATTTGAGTGTTTTAAGAACAATATGCACTGCAAGTTTGGTCTTCTGTGAAGACTAATTTTGATTACGGACCTCAGTAGTTCTTCCATGTGACAAAATAGTTCTGTAGTCTAGTTGACACATTATTGTATATTGAAGGGATGGGAGAATTATGTTGTCACCAGACTCAGGTGGGATATTTTTGCATTTACTGTAAACTAAGAAATTGTAACATTTTAAATCATTTAAATTTTTCAATTTAAAAGCATCTAATCAAAAGTATCTACAATTGCTTTTACAAGTGTATTTCTTGAAGACTGATTTAGGTGCTTATTTGTCTCTCGGCGTTGAAAGGAGATTTATTGGTGTTATTTTTTACATTATTATCTCAGTATAATCAGATATGTATTACAAAAGTATTTTGGGACAGTTTATTGTGGGGACTTTAAATATATGCTGTGGACAAATAATCCCTGTTTAAAGTTTATCTTTTTCTTTACATATTCATTATCTCATTTTCAATAGAAGAAAAAGATAGGACATATGGTTCTGGTGGGAAACGAATGGACCTGGGGAAATTGCAATAGATTCACCAGCTGGCCAGAGGAGGGAGTGATGCAGCCTTCCTGGCTGGTGAGATCAGTGTTTCAGCCTAAATTGAAATGAAATCTCTATTTGGGGAGTCTGCTTTTGTGCTATTAAACCTTGATTAATCCAATAATAAGAACAATAAAACATATATTTTACTCTGTCTGCTTTAAATGAAGACGGCTCTTATGAACCAGTAGGGCTTTATAAGTACTAAAAGTAGTATAAGTGGGGTGCACCCAAACTCACAGCCAAAACCTTGATAGTGCGCTGGGGGTTCCTGGTTCTCCCTGTGTTGCAGTCAATGAATTTGCATGCAGCAGGAGCTTTATGTATTGTGGGTTGTAAATAGTACACCAAGAGCATTAGAGAGATTTAAAGTCAGGCACAAGTACAAAGCAGAAAAAAACCCATAGTTTTTTCTCCAGTTGTGTCATAGCTCCCAGGCAGCATAAAGATAATGAGCAAGTTCCATGAGTATCTATACAGCCAAGGGAGTAATATTGGTATAGCACTGAGAGAAAAGCTTTTAAAACTGCTAATCTAATCGTGTTTCTTAATGGGTAAAAAGGAAAGCTGGTGAACCAAAATTACCATGCAATTAACTTTGTGTTTATGTCAGAATTCATTATTGCCTATTAACACTGCTGTTATTTGATCATAATTAATAACAGGAAGGACAAAATTGCATTACACAAAAAATGGAGGAAATATTACAACTATGGAAGGAAGGAGCTTGCTGTGGGGCAGGGTAAATGAAAGGGAAAAGCAAAACTGTATAAGGGGAAGAGCATCCATCTTCCAAAGTAATTAAATGTTATCTACTATTCTAGCATTTCCTTGGCTGTCATTCCATACATCTTTAAAGATGCAGGAAACTGAAATTATCACACATTCTTGTAATCTACAGATACTAATCTCTGTCTACAGAAATTGGTACTATATTAAAAGAGCTTTTCTGTTGGTAACTACTCTGTGTTCCAAGCAGCTACCTTGCTACCTACAATCAATGTTGTCTGTTCAGCAGCAGAAAAAGTAGCAGAGATTTTCCTTCCATATCCAGTAGAGGTATGTTTAAAGCAAGTTAGTTACAGCTGGAGGAATATACCTTGTTCTCTTCTGAAGACCTGTGTCTAAGTGATACCAATATAAAAGCATTTCAGAATCAATAGACTTGCTGGGAAATGGTGTATGCATAGCTGGGCTCAAGAGGTAACTTTTTGCCAACAGAATTTTGGCAGGGGAAAGAGTGGTTTGAGAATCCTGCTCCCAAAGCAGCCTGTTGGATGCTCTCTTGTGTTTTAATGTTCCAGGTGGTGTTGCCTCCGTATAAGCTGTTATGCAGCTTGAGAGACACGATTTACCTCCTTTATTCATTTCATCTGAGCTCTTGTTATGCCCAGAGCTCCCTCTCCCCCATGACATTTCACCCTGTCACCTGTTCCTAAACCACCGAGCCTGTGGCCAGCATGGGGACAGTGAGCAGAGCTGGCCCCAGGAGAGTGCTGCGACTTGAACCCTTACTAACCATATGGCCCTAGTAACATCTCTGGTGGTCGTCCTCACAGCATCAGAAGCAACGGTATTTTGATCTGATGAAATGCTGTTAAGAAATAATATGGAAATGAGACATGGCGCTGACAATGACTCAATCCTATAAATTAAGTTGCTTTAGATAAAATTGCATTTTTTAGCAAGACACCACTCCAAAGAAAACATTTAGGCTTGTTCTTATGGTGACAGCTTTGCCTTAAATGGCAAAGGAGTTTCCTATATAGTGCTCCTTCATTTCCCTCTACAGTAATTCACATTAAGAGAATGGCAATTCAGCATCTAACCTGAGGATGGGAATCTTTCCATTGTATCCATTGACAGCTTTGTCTTAAATGGTGTATTTTTAGACCCATCTTCCTCCCCTATAAGCGTGCTCAAGGGCTCTTTGAACTGATCACTTAACATAATTGTCTCTCTTTGGTCTGACATCAGGGAAGGAGGGTGGGAGAAAAACGGTCACATCTGCCAGTGATAAAACATACACAGATATATTTCAGGAATACTCCACTAGTTTCAGCATAGGGCTGTGATATATAGTGGGAAGCCTGTCCTGCTATTTTAGTACTCAATGTCATAGCTCTTTAGACCTAATTTCAAATGTTTATTTGCATCATTGTTGAAATACTGCTTCCTTTCTAATCCAATAACTAATTCAATTGCTTAAGTTTATGCAGCCCTCGGCCATGTATCCATGAAGCATTGTTAGAACAAATGGAGAAGTGACAGCTGCTCACATCAATAAGGTTAATGAAATGCAGAGTACATTTACACATCCAGGTATTTCACCAACCTCCACAGCACACAACAGGCCAAATTCAGCCAAGTGCAGCTTCTAGTGTGTAGCTGAAACATCCAGGGAAGTCTGTTTTCTGGTTTAAACATGGTTGCATTAATACACCAAGCACGAGCTGATTGTAAGCAGAACACAGGTGGGTGTAGATTGTTGTAGGAGCAAGCCTGGCATGCGTCCAAAATGTGGTGGATCTGTAAAAGTTGGCATTAAGAAATATATAATGTCTATAGAAGGGAGTAAGAAAAAACAGCAGTAAAACAAATGATGAGGTGGTCCTTTCCTAACCCTTCACCCAATTTAATTTATACAATCTGCCATGGTCTTAGCTTTAAGCCTGGATTAAAGCCCCAGATTCAGAGCTGGGATAAACTGAATTCCATGGGAGTTGTGCCCGTTCACACAAAGACAGTTTGTTCCCATAAAATAATGTTCTGCATTTCCACCAATAACTTCAACATTTGAATACCAAGTGACAGTCCAGAGACACCTGCTTAATATTCATGCTTCGCTTGACGTAAAACTGGCACCTGCAAAGGCTCCTCTGCTCTGGACAGTTTATTATATCTTTGCAAGCTTTCAAAAAAAAAGGACTTGCCTCCAGCGTTTTGCCTGGATCATTTCCCAGTCATACAGTGCTCCCTAGCAGATGGCTACATCCCTCTCTACTACAGTCAGCAGCAACTTCCTTCTTACACCCGTAAATGAAGCTTGCAGGGTTGTGACCATCCTGTTGTGACCATCTCGCTGAGACACTGACGTCAGCAGGAGCCTACAGAGCTGCACGGCTCTGCCTGCATCAGTCAGAGGTGATGAGGATCAGGGATGAATATGTAGCTGGCAACCATGACCACCAAACATTGAGACTCAATCTATTGGGATGATTTAGGGTTTATTTTATTTTCTTAAAAAGCTTTTGTCACTCACCCAGGCCCACTACCCACTACAAATTCTTCCTTCTTTGGCGTAAATGTCGTAGGATCAGTTTGCATGTTTGTTCTGCATAAGTGGGGCAGCTGCATCCAGTGCGTTTTTGCCTATTCAGGGGTTTTCTTCTTTTCAGTTCAAAACTTTTCTCCTTCATTTGGCAAGTAATTTATGAGAAGCATAGATTTAAGGGTGTGTTTGGTTGTTTATTGTATATACATGACAGAGCACTTATATAATATTTGAACATTTACCTGCTCACTGATCCTATAGAAGATAACTGCACTTGACATTTTGTATTTCCCTGCTAGTTGATTTTCTGGAAAAACTTTTGAGATCATTAGCATGAAAATGACAGAAGAAATTCCTGCAGTTCTTTTCCCCTTAAGCTCTCTGCAGTAAAAGAACATCCTGCACTGCCTTTTTTTTTTTTTTTTTCAGGTTGATGGTTTCCTGACGCTTCTCTTTGGCCTGGCTAGCATTAATACTCTTACAGTGATCAGTGTGACTCGCTATATCAAGGGCTGCCATCCTGAGAGAGGTAAGGAATAAAGGCAAGTCTTGTCCTGCCCTGCCTTCTTTGAACCTGGTGCAAATCTGTATTTCACTCAGTCACAGATTATATTAAATATAAATTAAATTAATTGAAAACCAGGACATAATGCAGTCATACACATTTCAGACATGTTTGCATAGAATCTTTCAGGGTTAACTCCAGTAAGTGTCAAATTATTACTAATACACTTGGGTCACCGTGGGTTAAATTCATCTTTGTGCCAAAGATACCACAGGTCCTGCTGACCCTCTATATTCTTCAAAATACAACTTCAATTGCTCCTAAGTGATACATCATCGTCTGGATCTGAAACAATGAATTTAATCTTCTATGAGATGATGTTTGGGAGGTTTCCAGTCAGATCCTTCATTCAGAAGGCTGCCCTACATCCAAACATTTTCACTCTAATTTAGTGTTTTGCCAGGGTTTGTGCACAAAAGGCATTATGGACTGCTTTAGATGGCACTTGGAACATTCAATCTGTGTGTCTTTCCTCCAGCTTTTGTAGCACTGCGCAGCCTGCAATCCCCCCGTACCTCTCCAGCCTCCCCTTTGTGGACATTTTCATACCCTGAGAGATGAAAATTACTCCTGCCATCCCCAGAACTAACCATGACCCAACTCTGCCTGAACCGTCCCTGTCTCCTGCCTGTCTCCCAGATCTGCAAAGCATCATCACCACAGCCTTTCACCCACACTTCTTCCTTCTCTAGTGCCCTGGTGATCTGTAAGCTGAATGTCTCAAACAACCCCAGTTCATTACTCTCTCCACTGCTAGAAACCTTTTACTCACCACTCTGTTTTTTTGAACTCTGTTTTTTATTAATCTTTGGTATAAACACCTCTCTGAGGGCATATGAGTGTCCCACTGTACAAATCCAGTCTGAAAACCTTTACACATTTCCTACTCTGTGATGCCTTCCTCAGCAAGCCTATATAAATATGCCCATTCCCCTTTATACCTCTTTGTAACATCATGCTCACCCCAGGGACTCACTTTCACAAGATCAGTAAAAACTTCTCCTCAGCATTTGCCCAGTGTCTTCCACCTGCTGAAAACTTCAACTTCCACTGAGAGTCATATGTAATTTCTCTTCTTTATACCTATACCTACCATAAGTTTTCCCTAGTCTTCCTTTCACTGATCTTCGGACAATGTATGATCAATTTTTCATGCCGTTGTTATGATTGGCTTGCACCATCTTTCAGGAAGGAACCTATTAAAATCTGCTGGTAAGGCACAGGTAAATACAAAGGATTCATCATAATAATTTTTCTCTCTAATAGCACGAGTAGTATTAGCCGTAAAAAGAACTTCTGCAGGGAGGACTTTTATCCACAGGAAGTTCTTCAGCAGTTTGTTGTAGTGATACACTTGCTGAAGTTAATTTTCAACAAAAACTGCAGTTGAAACTGCTAGAATTTGGCTCTAGTATAATTCTACCTCTTCTAATAATTTCATAGTATGAAGTCATATTTAAAACCCATGTTTCTCTTTTGTGAAGCTGTACCACATATCCAAGGGTGCCCGTAATTTATGTTTGACTCTTGAAGAAATCTTAGCAAGTACCCAATACAACATTAAATAAATGTTGAGAAATGTTGAGATTGCTGGATGCACAAGTATTTCCCACATAAATGAAAAAATAACCACACTGTGTGGCAACAGCAGGACAGAATGAATCATTTGTATCAAATCGCTAATGTAGTTAAAGCAATTTTCTCCTTTTTAGCAGGGAAAACCTTAAAGTGAGTGAGAAAATTCTCTGAATTTAGACCTAATTTGTTTGTTTGTATTTAAAACTTAACACACAACTGTTTCCTATGTTTGATTGCAAAATGTAAGCCTAACCTAGAATTTGCTAATTCTGCAGTGCTCATCAAACTCGTTGTCTCCTGCTTAAAAACCATTCATTTCTACTGTTCGATGGTCTTGAACACAAGCCTGACAGATGCTTTCAAAATCAAGTTTTTTCTATGAATATGCATTTTTTATCTTAATTTTTTTTAATAGCTGTATTTTATTTAATAGGTGTACTATTTCTAAGTACTATTTTCTGACAAAAGCATGTCATTTCAGGTCACTGCATCAGCAACAGCAGTATGACGGTGTCTCTGGTTCTCATTTGGGTAGCAGCTTTCTTCTGGTCAGCAGCTCCATTACTTGGCTGGGGCAGTTATACAGGTAACAGGTATCTTTCCGTTGTACTTATTTGGCACCTCTCCACTTAACTGAACAAAGACACTGACCTTGCTTTCTTGCTCTTTGTGATAAGCCAGACCAATTATCAGGGGAACTAAGAAAATTATTCATCATGCATGATGTACTCACAGAGTGTTGCCTGCTTTGGTGTCAGCTATAAAGAGATTTTTCTGAAGATATCAGAGGAAAGACTTGGACCAAGTGCATATTACCTATGAAAAAAAAAAAAAGGCCAGAAATATTTGGCATGGTTAAGCAATGAGATAAAGGAAACTATCAAAAGACATCCTTCAAAAACTGTCAAGATTAGGAAGCCAGAAAAGAACACAAGTTCTAACAAGTTAAAGTTGAAATTATACGTAATAAGAAAAGCTAGAAAGATTTGGAGAAACAGTTTGTTGAAAATATGAAAACTAACATAGTAAAGGAAGAAAAAGATGTTGGAAAGCTTGTCAGTCCAAGAAAGGATTAGAGTGCAAGATAAGGCCATATCAAAAAAGGAGGGGGAGGAAAAAGAGGAAAAAAATTGTATAGTGAACACTGCAGTAATTCAATGGCTAAGGGATATTCCCAGGCGAAACTATTTCTTCATGAGGAAATGTCTCAAATTAAGCCTCTAAAAATTCAACAAAACAAATATCTAGGAACAAATACCTAGGTAATGATACAGGAGTCTCAGCAACTGAAATCATGTGACTGACATTGCCTAGTAATTACCTGTCTGGATTTTGTAGGCTTCTACATTCTTTGAAAAGTCACAGAATCTATGGAGAATTATTAAACATGCATGGTATGTGCATGTATCCTCTTACTTAATAAACATGTAAGACCTGAGGTGTCTCTGGACCCTTGAAGTATGGGTGGGTGTGAGAAAAACATCCATTTGTATGGTTGGTTACATTTTCTATCCTTCACAAAACAATGGAGACAAATTCAAACTGTTTATTAGACTGTTCCAATTTTATGTCACGTTTTACGCACTCTGAATATACCATAAACTTGGGGCATTTGGAGGGGTAATTTTCTGTGTATCTTCTGATGATCTGTGCTCTTTTTACATTAATTTTACTAGCTCTTCATTTGCAGAATGATTTCTAATGTCTGGTATTGGCCTTTAACTGGAGCCAGGGACATCTTGGGCATCACTGCCTTGACAGAGTATTAAGGTGTCTGTTTGTATTTTGAATTTAATTCCTTGACAGTGGTTTTCAATACCACTTCTAGGAGTGCTTTTCCCTACTGAGACGCACAGCAGGCTTATGTTTCTGGGCTATATGTCTCTAAACAGATTTTTTATTGAGGGCACCCATGGAGATGCGAGAGCCTAGCAATGGCAAGTCCAGTAGCAGGTACAAGCAGACCACAGCACATTACACCTGGCTGCCTCAGATCTCTCATTTCTACACAGCAGTGCAGTGGTCCTCAGAACCAGAGTGATTTTTGGGAATGTTACTTGTCAGTGTCCCTGTGGAGGAAGAAAACACAGCTCCGAATTCCAACTAGCAGAAAATCATCAGGATTTTCTTTCCATGTCATCTGGAGGCTTCCTTCATTTTTCAGTCAAAATTTTTCATGAAGCAGAAACCTGGAATTAAACCAGATTTTATGGTTATACTTTGGAATTTTGAGGTCTAGTGATGAAAAAGGCAAGGAGACAGAAGTCTATTTCTATTACTGAACACATTCAGACAGCAACACCGAGAGCTTTTGGTGATAAAAATACCGAGCTCTTTTTGATGAGAACCATAAAAGAGATTTTAATCTTTTGCTTCTTTAATTCATCCTGTCTAAACCTCCTATCATCTGTGAATTTTTTTTCTCTTCAGAATTACCACTGGATGTTAGGGAGAATTCTACTGCTAAATCATGCAGCCTTCACTTGTATTGTATCTCCAGGACCTGTTAATACTTGACTTACATAATTTTGCTTCATGCTTCATTTATTTGTAATTCAATCTGCTGCCATAGCTGTCAGGAAAAAAAAAAAAAAAAAACCACACCAACTTTTTCCACTTAACAGAAAAATCAGCAGTTCACAATCTATAGAAAACTTCTAATGTTATAGAACTCAATTTTTCTATCAGGACGCCTTTACAAACACACTAAAGGATCTAAAGAAGTCAACTGTTATTCATAAAAGTGCTTAAGACAGTGAGTGCACTTTATTCCCACTGCCTTTTCCTCAAGTATCTGATAAGCTAGTGTCCCACTGTGTGTAGATCCTGTAGTTTGCCTCACTTCATTTTTAAAAGTCTGCAGCTCTGTGTTGCAGATCAGTGTTTCCCATTTAGCTAAAGCACTCCTATCTTTCTCAGTATTTATACGTTTTATCTTCCCATAATCTTAATCATTAGCTTTATCAATTTTCTTTCATGGCTCTCGCTGCAGTAAAAGTTTCATTGCCTCAAGAAGTCTCAATGTTTTTATTTCCTCCTTTGCTGTGTAAGTGGCGACTTTTTGTATTTGGTATGTTGCATCTGGAATTCCTTGTTATGCTGTTACAGTGATCATCTTAGGAAGTTGCTACGTAGAGTATTATGACAAATAAAAGTAAGTATCACTCAAGAATATCAAACCTACTGAAAGATCGCCTTTTTTTTTCCTCTGGTAAAGTATCACAATTTTCTATTCTGAAACAAGACTTTGTGCATTATGGATTTACACTGGAAATACAAATATGACAGAATGATAATACACATTAATACTTGTTACTGTCTGGCTGGTCTTGAAAAGTTGTTTTTGTAGAAAATAGAGTCACGTCTCATTAAATCAGAAAAAAACCAATCCATTCTTTAGTGCTTAACAGAAGAAAAATTTAGCATTTTACCAGAAAAATCGATCACTCAAAAGCAGATAAATACTCTAAAAATGCTAACCAACCTATTCTTGCTTTCCAGATCGCATGTATGGCACATGTGAGATAGACTGGGCAAAAGCCAACTTCTCTACAATCTACAAGTCCTACATCATCTCCATTTTTATCTGCTGTTTTTTCCTACCTGTCACAGTCATGGTCTTCTCCTACGTGTCAATTATCAATACTGTCAAACTAAGTCATGCATTAACAGGACTGGGTGATCCCACAGACAGACAGAGGAGAATAGAGCGTGATGTCACCAGGGTAAGTTTGGCTTTCATGTTGGTTGGGATCTATCTCAGTGAAATCTGTCTTTCCTAAAATTTGAACAGAAGACAAAAAACCCAATCAATTGCATTTAATTTTGTTATAATCCCTAGTGACAGAGTCTGAACTCAGAGAAGAATATGAGATTTGTTTAAAACTTCTACTGCATCAATTGGCTAATACTGGTGTTATATCTCACATGAAAAATAATCTAAATATAATTGGAGTGAGTTATACAGCACAAAACCCCAAAATTAGGTTTGGCATATGCTCTTTTCTTTCAGAAGTTACATTACTTCTGAGCATACTCAGAAGTTAGAGTCAAGCTTTTAATTTACTTTAGTCTACTGGAAACCTTCTGCACTTATATAAACATACAGGGGAATGTAGCTATTTTCATTCCATTAGATGAGGTATTGCCTAACCACACCGTCATGCCAAAATTCAATATATGGCTTCTGAGCCTGCCTGACTTCATCAAAGCAAACCATTTGCTTGCCTGTATTCTCCTGTAAGCCATACCCTCAGGGCTACCTGAACATTTCCCTTCTGGCCAAGCTACTATTCCCACTATTCCCAAGTTACTATTCAAGCTACTATTCCCAGAGTATTGCTTCCCTGTTGTAGTCTTCCAGAGTAGATTTAAGACTATTCTTCTTCTGCCTTTCAGGTTTCTATTGTCATTTGCACAGCCTTCATTATTGCGTGGTCACCATATGCTGTCATCTCTATATGGTCAGCCTATGGTCACTCTGTGCCCAACCTGACCAGCATCCTTGCCAGTTTGTTTGCTAAGTCTGCTAGCTTTTACAACCCCATTATCTACTTTGGAATGAGCTCCAAATTTCGGAGGGACATTTTTGTCTTGTTCCATTGTGCCAAGGAAGTCAAGGACCCTGTGAAGCTTAAACATTTCAAAAACCTCAAGCAAAAACAACCTCAGCTTGAAAAGAAAGAAGAGAAGTATGCAGCAGAAATGCACCCTGCACCAAGCCCTGATTCCGGGGTGGGAAGTCCAACCAACACCCCACCTCCAGCAAATGGGGAAGTGTATTTTGGTATTCTCGATACGCCATCTAATAACCCTGATATTGAATGTGATAGATTGTGAGTTCTGCGGCTGCTTAATACACACACTTTGTGTTCAGGAAGACCCTCTTCAGATCAGTGCTTGAATGACTTCCTAATTCCCATTCCATCTGTTTCTTGCTATAGCACTGATAACTATGCAACTCAAGCAATTCAGATGGTAAAGTGATATTTTCCTTCTGTGTAGGTACAAAATGCTACAAAGCACATTACAATGTGGCAGCACATCCAGTGCCAGAAACACTTGGTTTTCACATGCATGCAGGAAAAGAAAGACTGACTTGAGGAGAGCAGACATTAGCTAGCAAAAATAACTAGTATGTTCCTATCCAGTTTTTTCAATTCCATATTACATTTCCAAATATGTCTTTTGCTATTTAACAGTTACAGCCATCGAAGATTGTTTTAGCTCTGTGGTGCTGCACAGCTCCAGCCATAGAAGACAGGCCCTCCTGATTGCTGTGGAGCTGCTGCAGCTCCAAGATCTGCAAGAGGCAAAAGCCATGTTCTCCCTGCAGGGTACCTACCCAGGCATGCCTGCCATGGGGCTCCCAGGCCCCAGGGACCTCACAGGAGTGTGTCTGACTATAGGATCATAGAATGGTTTGTGTCAGAAGGGACCTGAAAGATCATCTTGTTCCAAACCCTCTGACATGGACAGGAACACTAGACCAAGTTGCTCAAAAGCTCGTCCAGCTTGGCCTTGAAAACTTCCATGGATGGGGTACCCACAGCTTCTCTGAGCAACCTGTTTCACTGTTTCACCTTCACAGTAAAGAATTTCTTTCAAATATCTAATCTAAATCTACTGTCCTTCAGTTTAATTTTTTTTTTTCCCTGGTCCTATCACTTGTAAGAAGTCCCTCTCCAGCTTTCTTGTAGGCTCCTTTTAGGTACTGGAAGGCTACTGTATCCCAAAGCCTTTTCCAGGTTAAACAGCTCCAGCTCCCAGCCTGTCTTCACAGGTCGCCTTCATAGGTCATTGCCTGTGCCTGACTCTGTGTGTGTCTATGCAAAGACTAGGAGTTGTAGATCCTGGCATTTTCTAGCCCCTGTAATTTGAGCAGTGGCTTCACACTTTTTCTCATTGGCTTGTAGAATTATTTCCACCTCCCCTGACCTTCCTGATGAGTAAGGCCTGGCTGTAGCACTATGATTCAGGAAAGCTGTCCTTTAATTTTACTGCTCTGTCTCCGAACCAATTGTTTTTCTGCCTGACTATCAAAGTGGAGCAAGAGGTGCTAAACATCAAATTATTTCACCAGATTTATTTTACAGAATCAAAGTGAGAAGGTATGTCTTCATAATTCCCCATTTTCTAAGTTAACTACATACTGAAAGACTTCTCTAAAAATGTCTCTGTGTTAGCTATAGAAATTGTGAGTTCTTTTAGTGCCACTTGCAAGTTAAACAAGGAGAAAAGAAAAAAAAAGAAAAATAAGAAGATGATGAAAAAAAACCAAACAACAACACTGTTTTCTAACATCTTTGCATTTATGAATTTCTGGAATCTCACTGTCTGGGTGTGCTGAAATGTAGTTGTTTTGCTAAGGTATGCTTTTCCAGATGTGTTTCTTGGGAAAGTTACAAAGAGAGCCCACCTTCATTTCCCCTATTACTCTATTAATTTTGAGAAAATCACCTGTGTTTTGAAGTTAAAAAACAAATAAACATTATAAGCAGCACTGGGGAACTGTGTTTTCTTTCACGGCCACGGATCTGAACTACAAGAGTATTCATTTTTCCTGGAAAATTTTGAGATATATGTGTTATTTCATTACCATAAATAATTAAAAGCAAATAATTAAACAGTTTGCTTTCAGATAAATGTTCTGCTGTAGCTGCAGAAATAGATGAAATCATTTAGGGTGAAATTCTGTAACAGCTGGATGAAGCCAGGTTGGGCTAGCCAAAGCTAGCAGTTTTGAAAGCGTGTCAGTGCTGCACAAAATCGACCTTAGTAACTGTGCTCGACTGAGACTTCGCACCAGTGAAAGTGCTTGGGTTTTCCTCTAAAGAAAGAAAAGTGCCATGCATCCCCACTGCATGAGGGTCTCAGAGATATCCACAGCCACAGCTGTGCCAGACACCTGCCCAAAGGCACCCTTTGTCCATAGGTGCCAGGCTGGGTTTTAATCTGCATTTCTATTCATTTACAGATACCTAGAGAAAATTTGTGTGCTGCTGTGTTGTAGCAAAACTGTTGATCTACAGGATTCAGATTGACATAGAAAGATGTGAAAAAGGCAAGAAAGAAGGCAGAGCACAAGGTCATTTCCAAGAATACCCCAAACTCCAGCGGAAATTTCTTCTACTTCATATACTACTGAGCACATATAGTGAGGTTAGACAGGGGGAAGAGGAGGGAGTATAAAAAAAGCCAGAATAGGAGCAAAGCAGAGGAAAAATATGAGGGGGTAAACCAGATAAGCCGAGGAGCAAGGGGCCAGGAGCCAAAGGATACACACCTGCTGAAAGACAGCTGGGAACACCCAACACAGAAACCAGGGAAGCCCTCTCTCCTGCAAGGCTGACAGCTATAGGCCTTTGTGGCTATGTGGTAATACCACAGGACTGCATATCTGTAGAGCAGAGTATCTGGTTTCACTAGTTTCGTGAGGATGGGTGTCTATGCAGACACCAACCTGTGTTCCAGGTTCAGTAACAGCAGGAGCACATTTGTCACTAAAGTTACTCAGGTTAAAAGCTTCCAGCCCTAAAGCATCGGTGCCCCGTAACTGCATTCGCAACACCAGCAACTGGTTGAAGAAAGAAAAAAGGTCCAGAATCCATTACTGGAGTGCAGGTAAGGGAATGTGCATCAGCATGTTAAGTGTGGGAATCAACAAAAATCCATTTGTAAACACATCGCCTGTGTCCCGCACTACCTCCCCTTGTGTCTGGTTCCACATGTGCCCAGACAAGGCCAGCCCCTGCTGCTGCCTCCACAGAAGGGCTCCTCAGACTGCTGAGCCAATGCTCCCACTCAAGAAGGAGCAAAGAGCTTGGCAACTTGAGACAATCATCTAGAACTAAGTATTCTGAAGGGGGATGGTGAGCCATTATGCTTTTTAATTAGCAAGAATGAAGTACGGTGCAAACAACTCCTGGAGTCAAATTACTCCCTCCCATAACCTTGCTGCTCCTCTCAACCTTGGATTTTCTTTTACAGTGGGTGATTTTTAGTAGCATAAATGCAAGAAGGCTGTTGTCATCTGATATTCTGGTGGCAAGGATGCTTCTGGAAAACTGCAGCTTTGAACATTCCATCTGAGATGGTCTTACAACGGAGGTCCCACTCACCTTGAGGAAGTAAAAAACAACCTGTTACCAATGCCTTCTCTTTAGAAACACTATGTTTTTACATTTTTCTAATGCAAAAATTTGATAGGTGTGCCAAAGGCAGGGCTAGAATTCATATCCTGTTTTGTGAAGGCACACAGCTGGCAGACATCAAGGGCTTCCTAACATGATCTAGTCCTTCCTCTGTCTCAACTGTGGACCTATTTCAATATGTTCTGTATTGAGTAGCTTATGCCAGCCTGCACAAATGAGATCTCCTATCTATTGCTAGTCTCCAAACAGTCTCTTGTCACGAACAATATTTAATCTTTCTCCTTTTGGCATAGAAATTCTGGTATGTAGGGTCCTTCTGTCTCTCTTGCTCAGCCCTCGATATTACTGTGAAATTTTGTAATTGTTGGGATTGGTTTCATGTGTGGCACACTAAAATAGTAACATCATCCGGGAGAAGGCAGAAGACTAAGCAATTCTACCATTTCCAAAGGATAGTGTCAGCATTTGCTGTTTTATTCCAGCAGAATATGAGACAGAGGTTAACCCTCTCCTACCCTACATGCAAGGAACCCACCCTTGCCAGCTGTTCATTATCCATTTCCATATTCACAACCTTTTGACATTGCTAATGCACCCTGGCAAAAATTATGTGCATGAGCATAGTAAAGTCACCCTGCAAAAAGACTGAAGCCCCTAAGCCACCCTCTAAAATATGCCTGTAGCTATGCTACATGCTCCTTTCCAAACATTTCCCAACTGTTTTTATTAGTGATTGATTAGTACGCTCAGTAGGTGAGTTCTTAATGGCCACAAAATTAATGTGTATCAAAATATCATCATCTCTTTCTTGATTATTTCTTATCATTGTTATTAATAATTATCATCATATCAGTATTATACCATAATAGGTAACTGCAGCTATTAATCATGAAATGCAATTATTAATATTCTCATGTACAACTTGGCCTTGAAAGTGGATTACCAACATCCCTTCCACTGACACAGCCCTTTCAGTTGGGCTACAGAGTCCAAATAATTAAGGTAATTCAGGATCACTTCTGTTCAATTTCCACATTTAAAAACAGCCTTATAGTAATCCTTTGTTTATTTATGCCAGGAAAACCTTTTGGGCCCACATTTCCCCTGCTAGTATTTTTGCCAAGCTGAAAATCCTTTAGGGTGTTGGCACATCGAAATACCTAGCAACATTTCTTAATAGCTTTGACATTTCCAATGGTAATGTGAATAACTTGAGTGTGTAGTTGGAGGGAGTCGATAGCCTACTGCAGTCCAGTCTCTGCTCTCAGTGCTATTATGCGTTTTTATCTAATGACTCATGTAAAACCAGAGACCAGAAAACAAAACACCCTTCACCCCCACTTAAGACAGGGTGTGAACTATTACAGTGTGAACTATTCAGGCTTGCACTCCCTTGCAGGCTCTCTCTCCACTCCTATAAATTCTCCATTCTTTGCTGCACAGACTGACGAGATAGGAGAGATCCAGAGTGCACCCATCCAAACATGGCCTATGGTTTAGCACTTTCCTCGGGAGAGATGGATGGGGACAAAGACCCTCTCTGCGGATAGGGCTGGACAAGAACATTGTCCTCCTGCTACCCTGCTGAATGGCCTCATCTCAGGCAATAATGAAAAAGCTGGGTAATGCCACCACATCTGTGTTTGCAATGATTCTAAAGATAAGCCAGCCTGGCAAACGAGGTTCTCTTGATATGCTGTATGTCCCTCTGCCTGCCTCTCAAATTGCTAAAATCTTGGAGTCTGAACCTTCTCAGTATATCAACAAATGCGAAGGATTTTTGCAAGCACTTCAAGAACTCTGCAGACCAAAGTTAAGGTGCCTACAGCGTCAAATGGGTCTTTGTCTAATTTTGGCATGGAGTACCTAATTCCTGTC